TTATTCCCACTATAGCTACAGTTTTAATTAAACCGCAGCAAAAGTAACCCCAAAATTAACGGTTAACTTACTTAATATCCTTTTTAAAAACCCGGAAAAATATTTTCGTTATAATTCCGACCCTAAAAAAAATAAGGTTTTGGATAGCAAAAAGCCTTAAAAAAGGGGTAAAAAGCTTAAGTTTAATGCAAAAAGCCCTAAAAACTCCCGTGTAATTAAGCCCCGTAAGCTCGGCAAATTATTAAACAAATCCTTTAAAAAGCTTATTCCAAAAGACATTACTTTATTAAAAAAAAGGCTTCCCAAGCAAAAAATCCGTTGCCAAAGCCTTTTCCTGTAAGTAAGGTACAAGCGGCCCTTTTTATTAATATAGCCCTTAAAGGCTTCCAAAAGTTAATTAACGGTTGGGTAAGCTTAAAAAGGGATATAATAAAAGGGTGTGGTAAAGATTTGGCCTTAAAAGCGCTGCTTTGGTACCGCCGATTAAGGCATATTGGCTTAGCTTTATTAAAAAAGATTGCTAAAATTACTACCGGTTTCCTTAACTTCGATAAAGTAAAGGGGTTGCAATGCGTGGTATGCGCCAAAATTATAACGGTATGGAAAACCAAAAAGGGCCCGTTACCCTTACCGGATAACGTTTTAAATTCGATAAAAAGGGATATAATTACTTTATCCTTTATACCATACAATAAAAAACCCGTAATTTTTATATTTGTAAATTGTAAATTAAAATATAGGTGGACTTTTTAATTACTTAATAAGCATGGCCATGTAATGTATGCTGCTATAAAAGCTTTTTTTAAAAGGCTAAAAGCAAGCTACGGGCGGTACTTTAACAAGTTGTTTTTCGATGGGGGTAAAAAGGTTAATACGGCGCTAAAGCAATGGCTTAAACGCAAAGGCACGGCATTTAATACGTTAAACTTTTATAATTACGGCCAAAATGGGCTATCCAAACGTACTGTAAGGGTAATCCTGGATAAATTAAAGGCTACAATTAATGCGGCAAGCTTGCCGTTTTATTTATAATGCTATATTTTACCAGTTATAGTTAAATTAATAAACGCTACGGCGGTTACTAATAAAAAGCTAAGCCCGTATTAAAAGTTTTACGACGAAGTAAAACCCGGATTTTCCCATAAATTTAATGTTAGTTATTATAAGGTTATAAGTACCCAAGTAAAAGCTATAATTCCTATGGAATAAAGGGTTAAATCGAAAAAGTTCGCAATTAAAACAAAATTTGTTAAGCTTTTAAAAGCTTTAAGTAAAACCATTGTACTTGTATATGCACCTGTACGTAAGGTCGTATATAAAACCTTTACAATTAAGTTATTAAAGGGAGTACTAATAAAAAATCTGGTTCCAAAAAGGGAAAGACTTTTAAAAAAGGTACTATTGGTACAACCTATTAAAACCGACGCTAATTTGCCAATTAATAATGCTTCCAGTAACTTTAAAAGCGAAGTGGAAAACGATTTTTTGCTAGTTCCATAGCTTACGGAGCCTTTAAAAGCTCCGATACTTACCCAGCAAAACAAGCTTTTAAAGCTTGTACAGGTTATTGTAAGGCCGCTAAAAGGCTTTAGTAGCATTGTAGCGCTACCAACGCTTAAAATACCGGTACCTTTAGTGGATAAAATGCTTATGGATTTAAGTGGGCAACTTTTAAATCCAAACCAAATGGATATTAATTAATATGTCCAATACATTTGCTACAAAGCAAAGCAGGCTGTAAAAAAAAAAAGCTTATTAAAAATGGCAAGCCCAATTTTTATAAAGAAGCTTTAAAAAGCCCTTACAGTAAAAACTGGTTAGCTATTTTAAATGCAAAATTTAAGCAATTGTTACGTGCAAAAACGTTTAAGTTTTTATTTAAAGTTAAAATACTTAAAAGGAAAAGATTAATTACTTGTTAACCGGTTTTTAAGCTTAAAAAAAACAAAAACAATACCTTTATAAAGTACAAAGCTAAGCTGGTAGCTAAAGGTTTTATGCAAGTAAAGGGCTTAAATTTTGTAAAAACCTTTGCTTTTATTAATATACCGTTTACGTAGCGTATACTTTTAGCCTTTGCTGCAGTAAAAGATTGGAAGGTCGAATAAATCGATTTTATTGGGGCATTTTTAAACAATAACTTTAACGTGGAAATTTACTTAACTATTTTAAAAGGGTTTAGTAAGTAAATAGCCTTTGCGTTTGCTAAAGTAAAAAAGGTAGCTAAGCAATTCGGCTATAACCTTGTTAAAAACCAGGTAATTTTATTACAAAAAGCGCTATACGGTTTAAAACAAAGGCTTCGTAAATGGCAAAATAAGCTAAAAAAAAATTTTAACGATAAAGGGTTTTTTGCTTTTATTTTTAATCCAGCGGTTTATTTTAATGCTAAAACAAAGCACTTTATAATTACCTTCGTAAACGATTGTTTAATTATTAAGCTTAGTATTAAGTATATTAATACTTTAAAATAAAGTTTATATAAAGTATATGCGTTAAAAGACCGCGGGCTTGCGAGCTATTTTTTAAGCGTTTAAATCGAAAGGGATAGGCTTAAACGGCTTTTTTGTATCCACTAAAGCCAATATATCGAAAAAATGCTTGTTACTTTCGGTTTGCAAAGTTTTCAAACCATTAGTATCCCTTTACAACCGGGTGTGCTAAACGATATTGGCGGATCCTTTATAACCTTAATTAAAGTAAAACTTTTACAAAGGATTATAGGGACCGTTATATACTTAATGCTGTTAACCCGCCCGGATATCGGTTTTTTTATTTAATGGATTTTACGTTACTTAATAAAGCCCACCAACACTTACATTAACGCTGCAAAAAACCTACTTAAGTATTTAAGTAATACCCAAAACTTAACCATCCAGTATGGTAAGCTAAAGGGGCTAATGCTAATAAACCCTGTAAAAGCCAAAGTAACAAAGAGTTTATTAACATTAGCTGGTTTTAGTAATAGCGATTTTGCTGGGGATAAGGATATTTTAAAATCGACAAATGGGTTTATCTTTACCTTAGCCGGAGGTTTTATTAGTTAAAAGTGTAAAAAAACTAGCATTATAACTTATAGCATTGTTAAAGCAAAAACCAACGGCTTAGCAAAAACCCTTCGGAAGGTAAAGTAGTTAAAGTACCTATTTAAAAAGCTACAATGTTTTATAAAAGGTCCTATAGCTATTTTCGGTAATAATACAAGCTTTATTAGCAATGCACATAACCTTACCCTGCATTTACGAACTAAGCATACGTTGTTAAAGTTCCATATTGTAAAGGAAAAGGTAATTGTTGGCACAATAACAATAAAATATGTAAACACTAAAAATATGCCTGCTAATGGCTTAATAAAACCATTAACTTTTCCAAAACATAAGGCTTTTTTAAAGCTTATAAGCTTATAACTTAAAGTTTAAAGTTTTTTCCTTTATATTAAAAGTTAATGGTAATGCAAATTAACGCACCAAAAAAAAATACTATTTTTTTAATTTCCTTATATACTTTTTCAATTTTTTTTGTAATTAAATTTCCTTTAACTTGTACGGAAGCAACAAAAAAAAGGAAATGTTGAAATTAACAAGTTATGTAAGGTGCTACCCTGCACCTACCCTGCACCTACCCTGCACCTACCCTGCACTTCCCCACGTTAATTAACATAAGTTAAATCTGGAGGCCGAACGCGGAAATCGTTTTGGTGGCCGTGGGTCGATTTTTTGCAATCCCCATACAAAATAATATTGCGGAAAATCGCGCGCGGCACCGCAACCCTTTAAGGGGGAAAACCCTTAAAATTAACGTCGGTGGGTATATAAGGAAAGGCATTGAGTTGGCACCCTCTCCCTGGAATAGCACTTATTTTTAACAACCAACGTGGGCCTGTTAGCATTATGTTATAGTGCTTGACAGGCCCGACCCTTGTAAACGTAACCTTATAAATTGCTGTGATCGTGCTGCAAAGCCCCAACTTGGACCCTGTAATTTAACATAAAGCTTAAATTACACGAAAGCGCTTAAAGCGCGGAAAATTTAAAAGACCAACCCCGCATATTTAAAAAGGTACGAAAAAAAGGAAATTAAAAAAAACAATTTTTGTTAGCGATAATACTTTTAGTAAAAAATTTACGAAAGTTTAATAAAAAAAATACCGTATTCGGCCCGTAACCCGGTAATTACCCGCTTTTGCACCGATTAACCTTTAAC